CACTACTACTCTCTCTCTCTCTCTCTCTCTCTCTCTCTCTCTCTCTCTCTCTCTCTCTCTCTTTTTCTATAGTATTCAGAGCCGCTTCTTCAGTGAATTTACATTTCCGTGTATCTGGTAACCGGTTTTATGAAGCGACTCATGGTTTGCAACTTAAGTAGGAATTTTTCTCTCTACGAAATATCATTTCCCCCTCTCGTAGAGATACACGAAATAATGTAACGACCGATCGAGGCTGCTTTTTTTCATACGGCTATATAACACAACGTCTGGATTTAAAATTATTCTCGAAAGAAGTCGTTTAAAATTCATCCATTGAAATTGAAAACTTTTGAAATTCGCAATTTTTAAAAGGCTTAAAAAATCAAGAATGTCCATCACAAAAAAAAAAGGGGGCAACAACAAAATAAAAATACGAATAAAATACGAAACGAGAAGAAATTTTAATTTTTCTTTGTTCATCGTCATGTGTTCACGCTTGCGAATAGAAGAAAAAAAAAAAAGATAAAAACGAACTGAAAGGGGAGAAAAAAATAAAAAGTTCTCGTAACCAGTCATGCCATCCATCGCTCGTTATCGCACGACCAGTTGTATCAACTGTCTCCGCCTTTATGCAAATGGCCGAAGGCTAATATCCATAATGAGCATTAATCTGTTTCTTTTTTTTTTTTTTTCTTAAAGATGGCTGGTCTGGTTCAGCGAAGAAGGAACGATATCCTATGCTCGCAGAAAAGGGGCACGAAAACATCTCGATACGCTATTCCACGATACGACAGAATATTTTCATGGGTTATCGTTAAATTTAATTGACGCTACCAGGAATGTAAATGTTTTTTCATAAATATATTCGAGACATCAATGAAACAGGAAGTCGTTATAACCCATTTTTCATTAAAAATAAAAAAAAAAGGATAAATTTAAATGAAAGATTTCGAAAGTATTATAATTTAAAAAATTATATAAACGCTTCAAAAATGTATATAATAAGATAAAATAATTGCCCATTTTTAAGGTCCGTTGACACACACGTGTAATCATATCCTATTCTCATGTTACTCGAGAACGTTCGATTCCACGGTTCTTTTTTCCATTCTTGTTGTAATCATAGAAAACAAGGTAGAGTATCGATTTATTATAATACGTAATACGTACTTCCTCTACGCGATTAGATATAAACAAGGCGTTTGGATTAATTTGTTGCGCACGCGACAATGTACACACTTTCAATAATAACAAATAAACTAAATTCGTGGAATCGTTCGAAGGATGGAAAATATCTTTTATTCCTTTCTATTTGTTTAGACACGGTTTCTTATGGAATGGGAAGAAGAGAATAGAGGAAAGGATGAGATAAAGAAAAGAAAAAAAGAGAAAGAGAAAGGAGGATACCCGTTGCATAAGCTATATTTAACTGCACCTGCTGGCGCCAGACTATTCGCACACGCGTTCACATGCATATTATACGCGTTGCTATACAAGACGCAACGCACTCTGGTGTCGAACGTCCGTTTCATCCGGCAGGACAAGGGCGTGCATATGACGGGACACTCTTGATTCTACTTTGTAATGTTTGAAATAATATATGATACATTTAACATTTTTTTTTAAATATTAAAATTTTTCAACAATTTATTTTTTATGAATTTGTTTCATTTAAAATAGAATTCGTGAAATTTTAATTTTTTTTTAAATTTTCGTTATTGAAATATTCTAAAATTTAATCATGTATTATGTGTTAAAATAAAAGATACTTCCTTAAAATTATTTAAAAAAAATTCGTATCGAATAGCATAACACGCAAAGTCCAGTCGTGGTCCTCTCGATAATGTTCCCCCTTCTTACTCTACCGATCCCAACCGAAACGAATCTAATAATAACTTGACCAGATCATGCTCGAATAATTGGTAGGGAAAGAAACAGAGGAAAAAATATCGAAACACGAGTCCACCGAGGGTAAAATGTGCTTCTTAGACGCGCGGCCAAATATGGAGCGACACCGAATGATCTTAGAAAACCACTACAGCGTTTAATTTAATTAAACTACGCGAAACATGCGGATGACGATGAGCTTGACCAATGGGTGTGTCCGTGTCTAACGATACCCGCCTACCCACTTTCAACATTCCTTGTGTTCGAATCGATTCAACTGTTTTAATTTTATGATATATAATTTTAAAAAATATGGAAAAAAATATGATATATAAGTAAATCGTAAGAAAAGTAATTTTTAATTTTAATTGAACATTTAAACGAATAAAAAAAAAGAAATAATAAAAAGAAGTAAAAATAGTAACACAAGTGGGCACGTGGTATCCATGTTCAAATTACGCGCGTTATATAATCCTACGATCGTTCCGGCAGGACGTGACTATCGATAAATCATCATGTTTCAAAACGATTTTAAAGAATGAAATAATTATCTTTTAAAAATATATAAAATCGTAAAAGTTTTATAACTAAATATATATAAACATATATATTTCAAATATAATGAAATATTGTAAATTATTATACGTATCTGTAAGCGAAAAAAAGAAAGAAGCTTTAAATTTAAAATAAAATTTACACTCACCATGCGCAGAATGTTCAAAATTTTTCCAATAATATGTGATTATCATCGTGGATATCGACTTCACAACCAAATCCTTACAAGGTCTTCGATCGATCCTTTACTGGAAGTAAAACGAAGAGGGCGTAGAGGAAGACCAGTGCACCATTCCAGATATAAGATGTGACGCACTCTCGACTAAAGTGCACGATGACTTGTCCCCGCCATCCTTTATGCTAACGAGAAGGCTCAAAGAAATAGATTTGTCAGGAGATTCGCAGATCACTGAGAATCGCACAGGAGAAGAAAGGATTATACTTTCATGTTTCGCGCAAGCCCGAAAACCGCACTGTCAGACGGAAGCATGGCACACGATTGAGAACGAATATAAAGGAGGAGGATATGATAACGGAAGATGCAGAAAAGCGTTTCAAGCCAAGCAAAAACTAATGAACCGAGAAGAGTGGGGACAAACGGAGAGACGCGAACGAGAGTAGACTTCCTTCCTCTTTCGCCAACGCATGTGCGAGAGGATGCAAGCGAACTGACTTCATTCGTCGACGCGTATTCCTCGTTCCTTGTCGAATTCTGGCCACGAATGAATTTAATAATGGGCTCAATAAACTCTTGAAATTCACGAAGTGGAAATCAACGATTAGGAACGACGATCGCGGTTAATAGTAACTCCGTTCACCAACGGAACGATCGTCATCCACGAAACTAAACGAACTGCCAAGCAACTCGACACAAACGAACTTCCAAACTGATGGAACGAGCGGCGCGAACTAAGCTGCGCGGAGGTTGGCGAGAACTCCGGCCAGTCACGAATGCGCGTTTCCATCGTGCCGCCGTGTGGTGGGGATAGACGACGTGCGTATGAGTGCGTTCGTTCCACCGAGCGACGGAAGTATAGTGGGGAGTGGGGCTTGCGCGATATCGCAGGAGCGGGGATGCGGCTTAACGCACCCCGTGAATGATGCAGGTGACAAGTAGGGACGATGATTGCATTCGTTCATTGCTACTGTATATTGTTAATTAATTTCTTTGCTGTAATTATGGATTATTATCTATTGGAAATAGATACATAATATTTATATTTAACAAAACAATTTACTCGTTATAATTGAATTTTAATCAATGAAAGATAATGATTATATTTGATGTACATAATTGAGTGCAATTTGAATGATACATTTCACTAGAAATTCATCATTAAGTGACTATTATAACTATTCAATTAACTCGCTATTCATAGAAAGTAACGTAAAGCAGTTAATACACTCGTATTGCTGTATTTTACGACGCGTTAGCACAGAGTGCTTCGTCACCGAGTTCAAGGATGATAACGCTTCGCATTACAGGCCATTTACGTATCTTTTTTTTTTTTTTTTTTTTTTCTTTTTACCTTTATAAACTCCCGTTGTAAATATTGTGTGGTATTTTTGAAGAACGGAAAAACAGTCGCAAGTAAAAGTAATGTAATAATGATCACTTAATTATCAACGATATATATCATGAACACGAATGATTGCGACAGAAATTCTTATCTCGATTGCGTGATAATGCGTGTTCAAATGGAACGTTCGATCCATTACAACAATGATTTACATCGCCTACTCCGTGTAATATAACTTGTCGTTGGAAATGAAATCTCACCCCGTTCACCGCTGTACCATTTATGTAACCAGTGCACTTATATTCCATGTTGGTAATATCTTATCGATGCAGAACGACCTAATGACCCTGTGTTTTTTCATGTTCCAAATTCAAAAAATTTTATCGCGTTTAAAACTAATGTTACACGATGCCTGGTCTTACGAAATAGGGCGAAAGTGGCATTCTATCGATAATGAGTTGAACAGATAATGTCTCGATGCGTGGAGAAATGGATACACATAGTTCATATTGCATCATGTCAGGATCATGTCGGTAGTTGTGATGAGATGCGAATGGAAAACGAATTTTTCATTATGAAATAAAAAATTAACTTTAGAACTGTTATCTCTGTAACCCGCTAGATATAGATAATACTTTTCTTTTTTTTTCTTTTTTGACGTGAAAAAAGTACTATAAATTTTAATTTTTTGTATGTTTTTTTACAGAGTACATAATCCTAAAAGTAAGAAGATGACGTAAACACTTAATTTCATTGCGTTCTCAATACTACATGCTAATGGTATTCCATAATAAAGAAAAGGACTTCCAACTACAGACAACTGTAATACTTGAATAAATCGCCTGACCGCACCTTTATGCCGTGAAACACGTTAAAAGCAATTTTCCTAAAAATGGCGGCCAGAGTCGATGGTCAACACGTCAACTACCGGAAAGCAGTATATTGAAAAACTTCTTGTCCCACAAATCGTTCCATCATTCAAATGCAAATCCATCTGCCTTTTCTTTTTCTCCACGAAGATGACGGTCATGAATATATGGAAGGCCAAACTGTTTGAATATTTAGCCACAACCATTATGTACCCGGTTGTCCGCTAAACGCACAAGCATACGCTTTTTTCTTCGTTTCAAGTTAGAAAATTCGAAGTTCCATCTAGGTAAACATTGAAGAACGCGAATCAACCTAAAAAAAAAAAAACAATTGTCAATCGTGCGTTTCATTTTCAAAAATTTATTCTAAGAATTTCATTTGCTCCATGTTTACAATAATAACTTGCAATGCTTTACAACTGATTGTCAAACCTGATGGAATAGATTCTTCTCTCCGAGCCTATTACGGAATCTATAGCAGGGGACGAGAATGCAACAGGCTCGGTTGGCTCGTTTTCAAGAAGAAAAAAGTGAAAAAATTCGCCATCACGGTCAGTGACACTACTCACGATCGGCATATTTCCTTGACCACGTCATCCTCGAACAGTGACCCCCGTGGTAGGGCGAGAATTTGCGGAGTGTATTAGTAGGCCATGACGAAAATATCAGACGGTCCGGATAGTAATAGCAAGCATCTAGACGGCATTGACCGCGCCCGAATCCGCGCGCAGGTCGTTCCCCGTTCCTCATGCTGCTCGTTAAAGTCACATTTAGTCAGAGGAGGCTTTACCAGAATCGTATATACGTATTTAGAAACGGCGTTATACCAGAGCATCGTTATAGTTTTCGCTTGGTCGGTTGCTAGGTCAGGAACCATGAAATTATGCAAAAGCGAAGAACGTCCAAATTGATTTCCTTCCTGGTCTCTCCCTCTTCGATTGTTGTCGATTGTTCGATTAAACATCTCTACAGCAGATGTCAGATTGTAGAGCACAGTTAGTCACTTTTTACTTTTACTATGTATGATCCCTTAACATTCTCTTGAGACTCGTTAAACTCTCGTTTAGCCTGCAAAAGATTTTATCGATTAGAATCTGGAGAAAGTTGAATATTTTCGAATATTATGCATATTTACCAATTTTACCAAAACTGAATTTCGACTTCGAAAGATAAAATAAACGAATTTCAATCTTTTCCAAAAAAAAAAAAAAATAGATTTCAAGAAAGAAGTTTCAAAGTTCCAGCGTTAATTTTCCAAATCCAACATGTTGTTCTTCGAACGGGGGATTATACCGGAAATGCGATAGTTCACAGAGGTAAAGGAATACATAAGCCACACCTAGGTATAAAGCGAGTGAAATACATGTGGACAAGGTAGAAAGGTCGAGTCAGTATATATATCCTTTTTCTCGTTATCCCAGCTTCTATGTCCTTCCTTTTTTTTTTTTTATTCTCTTTTTGCCATCGACCCAATATGCCGCTCCCATGTTTGTCAACTACATGTGTGCTATTGTAATACGATGGTTCCTAAGCGTGTTGGCACGAAACGATCGCTGGAAAGACGAGTTCCATTTCAACTTCCTCGGTCCAAACTGCATAAAATATAACCAATATACCTTTACGATCAATAAAACTCTTCTTTATGATTGTCACTTCGCATATTCAGCCGTTTTGAATATACACTGGTATAGAAAATATATTTTAATGACCGGAACATTCATTAACGGTAATTAAAATGAATCTCCGTTATGATATCACATTGCTCCATCAACAGAATTGATTTAAACAACGTATCTGAAAGGTTCGTGAATATCGATAAAACGAATTAATCGTATGATAAAATATTTTCTGATGTTTTTATCTATTTTAAGAGAATATTTACGTCATCCGATCTTACCTGACAAAAAAGGATCACAAATCGAATGATTTTTTTAATTAGAAACCATTTGTAATCTGCCATCTGAAATGATCGAATTATGTTGTATTCGGCATATAAAAAATATTAGCAAAAAATATACATATTACATAATCAAATATATTATATATAGTTTATCCTTATTAATAAAATAATTCTTAGTAGTGGTAAATGTATATATCGTTTATACACATGTCAATAATTTTTCATTTCTCTATTTCTTTCTCAATAGAAACGGTGCTTCCTTTCATATAATACTAATGTAATCATAGGATGCATTAAAAATACATGTATGTAAATATGATCGAACCTTGAAACTCAACGGAATAATTTGAATAAGATATGGAAACTTCTCGAAAAATAATTATTAAAGATATAATATTGAAACCTATTATTCGAGTTATTATATAACTATAAATTATATACTTTTACAAATATTATATATCTTATAATTATATATTTTTATTCTGTATAATAATTTTTATACTACATAATAACCTAACATTTTAACTTTAAAATCGATGTTACAATTTTCATACGCGCTCGAAATAATAGATATGTGTAAAATCTGTGATTTTTTTATTTTGTTCACTTAATACCAATAATAAAAGAAATGAAAATAAGCGTTAATCATCGATAGAGATGAATTCATAAGGGATCTTGATTAGAAAGTGAGCGAGAAAAAATGCGAAGAAACGTAATGAAATTGTAACGAAGGACAAACAGGCCAGATAACCCGACTATACCTCGGTTAGCAACACGATCGTCTGACTATTACGAGAATGATAACAAACATGTATATGCTCACCACGGTATCTGGGGTTATCATTTTCTTTTTCTCCATTCTGGAACCAACCGAGGGAAGTATTTAACTCTCTGAAGAATCAAAGAGTGGTCCAGGGGTCATTGAAAGGAACAGACAGGCTATCCAACCGTTACTTTTATTCTTTTCTTCTCTATTTCTGATTTCTTTTTAATTTCTGAAATGTTTAAAAAATATCGATAATTACTTTAATGATGATTTTTTCTTACACTTTTCTCTCTTTCTTTTTTTGTTTTTTAATTACAAAATCTAAAAAAAATATATTGCCTTCAAGCAAATTATGATTTTACGCCTTCAATAAAAAAAATGTAAACATTAGAATTTATGTTATGTATATGTATGTATGTATATATATATATATATATATATATATATATATATATATATATATATATATACTTATATGTGTAAAATCTGTGATTTTTTTATTTTGTTCACTTAATACCAATAATAAAAGAAATGAAAATAAGCGTTAATCATCGATAGAGATGAATTCATAAGGGATCTTGATTAGAAAGTGAGCGAGAAAAAATGCGAAGAAACGTAATGAAATTGTAACGAAGGACAAACAGGCCAGATAACCCGACTATACCTCGGTTAGCAACACGATCGTCTGACTATTACGAGAATGATAACAAACATGTATATGCTCACCACGGTATCTGGGGTTATCATTTTCTTTTTCTCCATTCTGGAACCAACCGAGGGAAGTATTTAACTCTCTGAAGAATCAAAGAGTGGTCCAGGGGTCATTGAAAGGAACAGACAGGCTATCCAACCGTTACTTTTATTCTTTTCTTCTCTATTTCTGATTTCTTTTTAATTTCTGAAATGTTTAAAAATATCGATAATTACTTTAATGATGATTTTTTCTTACACTTTTCTCTCTTTCTTTTTTTGTTTTTTAATTACAAAATCTAAAAAAAAATATATTGCCTTCAAGCAAATTATGATTTTACGCCTTCAATAAAAAAAATGTAAACATTAGAATTTATGTTATGTATATGTATGTATGTATATATATATATATATATATATATATATATACATATATATATATATATATACACTTACTTTTTATTAACCTAAAAATCTCATGATTATTCATCAATACATATCAAAGTATAGAAAGATTTTTTTTATAAGAAAGATCTATTATTAAAAAAAATTTGTATTTTATCTCTTACAAAAACGAAAAGATTGTCGTAAGTCAATATAGTGACTACGATCATACTATATGCATATGCACAACTCAGAAACATTTTAAACGCAAATATTGTCGCAGTTCAGCACATCGAGGGTCTTCGTATCCGCTGACGTCACATTGACCCAACGACTCCACCGAACTTTGCGCCACATTAACATATCGATTTATAAGCATTTATATACATTCAATTTCTATTTGAAAGAATGAATGTTCCTAATCAAACGTTATAAAAGAAAAACCGCATCTGCTTAATAATCAACATCATCAACTTGTATCGAACATTTTCATTTTAATATTATTGAGGATAACTGTTCAAGAATGATCCATAGGAATTCATCGTTCCTATCGTATATAATATATAAGAAAATATTGTATTTCGATAATAGATACTGATAACTTTTTTACTCAATCTTGTTATGTAATAATAATCGCTTTATTTTGCTAAAAAAAGCGGGATATTTTAATAAATTTGTCAATCTTACCGATATATTAATAAATAATAGGTTATTAATCTCGATTATATATTGTGAAAACGTATTTATACAAATGATAATTAAAATTCTTTATCTTTTAATAAAACACAAATAAAATCAATGATTAATGTAATTTTATATGTACATACATGATAGAAGTTTTATCAATTAATAGACAACTTATAAAATAAATATATACTTGATACACTTTTCCGTCCCGTATCTTGAGATTTTTTGACTACTTTAATGTTATTCTTTAATATTACCGATTCAGCATAGAATAATTCTATTAATGCATTGAACATTTAGATATTAGAATTAAATGTATTTATATGAAACTACAAATATGATAAAGATAAAATCTAAAAATCTGTATTTTTCTAATTGTTTGTAATCTTTACATAAAAATTTATTATCGCAATAATAATTAAAAATAATTTAAACAACAATTATATCCAAATTAATTTTCATTCAGACAATCTTGAAAGTCGAAAAATAATAGATAATTAATTAAATATTTTTTTATTTCAATATTATAATTAAAATATTCATTATAATGTTGATTCTTTCACTTCAGTACTGCCATCATGTGGTTGTTCGATGAATTAGTTAAGAAATTGAACTGATACTCAATCGATAATTTTTTAGTCGATAAGTAATTCAATTAGTCTACAGATCAGTTCATACACTATGTTTTTCACAATTTGATACGTAATACGAAACAATGTGAGAAATAATTTATAAAAACAAATATCCGAAATATGTTTTTTATTATTATGGTTTGGAGAGCAGTGCTACAAGTTACATAAGAAAATAACATAAATGTATTAAATGTATAACTGAAATTATGTCAAGTAATATAATTTGATTGCTATAAACATAAGTATAAATTTTTTATTATTTTGTAATATCGATATATTTATAATATTTTTATCTCTAACAAAAATTTCTATAAAAAGTTATTTATTATATCCCTTAATTTTTACATATTATTCTTAAATAATATTCTTTTAATGTGTATTGCTTTTTTATAGGATTTGAACAGGGTATTTCATCATCTGAATTTGTATCCATTTCTAGTAAAACTTTCCTTTTTGTGGTATTATTGATTAATTGATTTGAATTGTTATTAATATCATAAAATTTTTCATACTGTGCCAAAAAACTGAATTTTCTTAACCTTTCTAATATTGATAATGAAAGAGCATTCGTAGCTAATTCATATGCTTTTTGTAAGGATTGTTTGTAATTTATTCCATGGAATTTTGTCTGTAATAACAACTAGTATTATTTATAATGAAATTAATAAGATCAAATTTTAAAGAATTAAATACCCTTTTAATTAATTGATCATATTTATATATTGCAAATGGTTTAAGACTTCGCTTATGAATCCAAGCACATTCAAATTTTTCTTCATTAAAGAATGTAACATAATATTTGATCTATAAATTATATATATTTTATTATTTTATTAAAAAAATCATATTATATATATAAAAAAAAAATATATATATATATATAACTTTACAGGTATAAGAGAATTTTTAGGCAATTTATAATATGTAAAAGTATCAGGACAATCATTTATTATTCCAGGCCACCATGGAAAACCTTTAATATGTGCCCAAACAATGCTACCTGCATTATAAACATTTTCAATTAAATTAGATTTTATGGCAAGTGAATTAGGATGTTCTGGTATATTACAAGATGCCATTGATTTATCTGTGAGATCATACACATATTAATATTAATACATATGTACGTATAAAATATATAAAATTTTTCAAAAAAAAAAATAATACAAACCACAATTCATTTCACAATACCATATTTTGGGTACATTTAATGGATCATGATATTCTTCAACGTATCTCCATTTTTTACAATTTTTTCTGCAGCATTCAATCCATAAACCAATATCCCTCTTAGATTGTAGCCAATATAATTTTTCTTTCCAATTAAAATCACATTGAAATAATTCTTCTGCATTTGGATTGAATACTGAAGAATACAAAAAAAAAAAAAAAAAAAAGAAAAAAGAAAATACCATTTCAATAATATTAAATTCATTAAAATATCACTTAACACATTTTTAAGTTTCCATAAATTTTACTTATTATAAATCTATGAGTTTATAAAATAGCATTATATCATACAATTTTATTACAATTTTCCCTTAATAGTAACATACTTATTATAATTAAATTAACAGCTAACGTATACTGTTACACGCGAAAATGTGTTAATTTTTCTTTGACATCAGTATTAGTTTTCAACGTATGCGTGCATTTCTTTTCACTGTTTATACACCTACCTACAGAAGATTCTTGTGCTACATTGTTTCTGTTGTTCACTACGTTCACGGATCTGTTTCCTAAAACGTTTCTATCGTTTTCTTTATCGTTCGTTTGTACTTTAATCCTGTCTAATTTGGCGCGTAATCTACGTATTTGCTTTTGCGAAGAATCGAATCTATTGCATTTAGTTGTGTGTTTGTGGAACAAAGTATTGTTTGATTCGTCAAACGGAATATGAATTCCGCTATCTATAGTATTTGAAGCATCTAATTCATCATCGGTGTAATACAACTTTTTTGGCTTTAAATCTCCCTTCCTAGGTTGTTTTTTGTACTTCACTGGCGCTTTCGGCGTTGGTATACTTTTCTTTTCCATCGGTGGGGTATAAAACGAGTCAGACATATTTTCAATCGATTGTTTATGAGATAAATTGAACTATTGAAAGATAGATATAAATGTGAATTTTTTTTTTATCAATACACACTATGAAAAAATTGTTACTATTATGATACCTGTGACAAAAAATTTGTTGACGAATTGGAACGATTTACTTGCTCGAATTCCCATTTTTCAAATAGTATCGTGGGAGTTCGTCGATTCAAATCTGATCGTTCAAACAGAAAATTTCTTCCTTGGATATCGTTTCGAGTGGGTTGATGCATGATTGAAATTTAATTTAATAATATAACACTGTGTAACCAAAGAGTATCAAAGTATTATTTTTTTTTAACGAAAAACAGTTTAATTTATCACAAAAAAATCGCGGGATGATTAAAAATTACGAGTGATTGGGGAACCCGCCGCGTTTGTAATGGGGTTCGCATATCATTTTGCACGGTATTTGTTGCAAAGCAACGCGAACCAATAAAAATTAAAATTTTTTAACAAATGACAAGCGCGTAAAATATTTATCGTAAACATCTATAAAACTTACATGTTATATCTATATAAACGATGTTAAACAATATACGAATTGTTCATTCGTATATAAATTGATTGAATAACTATAATATAAAATAATATTAAATAAAATTAAATGAAAGGTAAAATAAGATAAACAAATTAATCTAGACTCTTTTAAATTTTTACAATTGCCGCCATTACTTTCATTGGTTAATTGAAATTTCGTCGCGCGCAGTTATATTCTAATTCGTCGTTCCCATCGTTCGCGATTCAAAAGAGTGTCAGTCGTGTTTGTTGTCCGTTATAGACCTAATATATAAAAGTGAAAAATGATTGCATTTTATATTAAAAGTGTATCCTTCTAATTATTTAAATGTATTAAGCAATATAATTGTGTTACTTTTATTACTGATATGTAAGTAATATTTTTAATTGTTAATTGTTTATTCATAGTACATAGTATGAAATGAGAAAGTAATCGTGATCACATTCACATTGATTAAATTAATTTTTTTATAATATGATAATTATTATAATAATTAATTTTTTAAAGAATAATTATATATATAAAATATCATAATTAGATCGTTAATACTTTTTAATTAAATTATTTTAATTTAATAATAGATTGACCAATTATATTTTTGATATTATTCGTTTTATATTTACATATATGTAGTACATACACAAATCAGAATTAATTGCTTACATCATTTCTATTAGTATTCAATATTTACAAATGTGTAGTTTATTTACATTAATACAAATGATAGT